CCCCCCCCGGCCCCCAACCACCACCACCACCACGTGCTCCACCCACTAAGTGGTATTGGTTTTCTGTACCCTTGTGTGCTCTGTGTGGCTACCTGAGAGCAGCATTGGTAGTCAATTGTGACGAGAGCTTGGTTTTACTCCCTGCATTTGTCTTTGTTTGCATTCCACAAGTTATTCTCAGGCTGTATCTTGACAGACTCATTCAGCTTCCTTCGCCATTTTCCTTCTCTTATGGACGGACATTTTGTCCCAGATCATGTAGTCCTGGCAAAGACGACCTTCTCACTTTCTTGGGTGTGATGTTTGTTGTGTTCTTCAGGTACCCTGCCATTTTTGAAAGCAGATTGGGAGATGGGCTCCAGCTTTCCTACACCTTTCAGCAGTCCCTTGCAGGCTCGCAGAGGGAGGCAAAAGGAGGCGAGTCTGGTTCAGCTACTTCTCGTTCAAACCGGTTTCTGGGGCATGCTGCAGTCGATGGAACTGCTGACTGTGTGAAGCAGGGCATGGCCAGAGTGTACAAATTGGTCAGGGGCAACCGAGCCTCACGGAACAAGTTTTTGTCATCTATAATACGGAAATATGATTCTTCGGGCACAGGAGATTTGAAAGCTGATCTACTCTTCCTCTCGTAAGTAGCATATGAGAGAGACTCAATGCTCAACTGCCAAAGTCCTGCTGCAGAGTGAAAACAGTGAAAAGCAATTGGTAACTTCTATGGAGGCTTGATAGTACAATGTTAGGTCTGTGAGTGGTGAATCAGGATTTTGAACCATGGTTACATGGGCCCAAAGCTGGACACATCCAGATCCGAACCAGAACCTGGATCCAGACACCATCCGGATAGCCAGACCGATCGTGACCAAGGGAATGCTAAAAGTAGAATAGAGATTACTTTCATTTTGGAAGAAACCCATGCTGAAGAAACTCAGAATTTGAGCACTATTATCTCTCTCTTGACCAACGTGGCAAAGCAATGATTATGAAAGCGCCCTGCACAGCTCCAACAATCAATTACAACAAAAGTAACAGTTCCCTTCCCTCTCTGGTCTCTGTACCACCCCACGTGACCGTCACCTCTACTATCTACTCGACCGATTCTACACCAACTGCCATTCCGCAGAGTGCCGTTTCCATGTACCTTGCTGGAGCCTTTTCCCCAGGTAAGTACCTCACCACTCTTCACTTCTCCATGGTCGTCCTCTTTCCCCAAGAGGATTTCGCCTTCTAGCTCCACCTGCTCCCCCAGCGCCCAGCGTGGTTATGGTGTCGGTCCTCGTCCTCGGTGCCTGATCTGGCTATGGTACCAGTCGTCTTCCTCAGCACCCAACCTTGCAGTGTCACCATTCTTCTTCCTCAGTGTCTAACCTGGCTATGGCGCTGGTCTTGTTCCCCAGCCATGGCTGCTGCTGGTCTGATACTGGTTGTTTGCCCTTTCCCTGGCTACCACCTGTGAGTCGGAGCTCAAACTGCCTGATGACATCCTTCTGTCATAGCCCAGCTACAGCTTGTCCTGGCCTTCCCCCACAGCTCAGGTATTGCCGGCGTTGGTATGTCAGCTGAAGCCACCCGGGGGCCTAACGGCCAAATTTCCTCTGACCGAGGCCTCGTGGTCTCACCCTGATCTCGTTTAAATACTTCAGCCGGTCTGCTGCTCAGCGGGTAGGCACTGCCTTCAGGTGTCTTCTGGTTCTGGCCTTATGCTCCTGGGTTCCAGCAGCCCCAACGAGCCCCAGTGTCTTTCAGGGCCTATCGGTCCCCTGCTGCCTGCTGAGGAGTCCGTGGGTCCTAACAGTTTACATTACTTAATAATATTTTCATCCGGATTTTCGTGGGTCCTAACAGTTTACATTACTTAATAATATTTTCATCCGGATTTTCCGATTTTGCCGCTAGAAATTGAAGAATTTGTGCGGCGCTGTAATTTGTGGTAGTTGTGGTGCATCGCCCTCAATAATTTCTGATCCAGGTTCAGTTCGGAGAATGTCTGTCACATCATCTGGGTGTGAATCCTTTTCGCTGTACTCCTGTTGTCAGATCCCCAACTTCTGGCCATTAGGTACCAGGTTGCAAGCACTGGAAAGTCTGGAAGCCCAGGGGTACATCACCAATTGCATGGCAATGCGTTCCCATCTGACTTGTGCCTGCTGCAAAATTGTGGGCATTAGAATAGCATGCGACAAATATCAGAGTTTGCAGGTGCAGCATGCACATTATATCAAAGTACAGGGGCAATTGCAAATAGCTAATTCTGAATTGAAAGCTGTTTGCAACTTTGCATAACAATTCTGCATATCATATATTTTCCATTTCTTTTTTTTTTGGTCAAAATATGGCACAGTTATCTGAAAATATATGTTTCGAATCTACTGGGTAGCCCAGACTCTGTATCTGAACTCGATAGCCGGACAAGCCAGATGAGCATCTGATGAGTGCAGATCATATCTATGGTTTGAACCCGGTGCCTCACTGTCAAGGGCCGTACGATAAGCCTTTGTTTCTCATCCACACGAAACATCATGCATGCTTGTACACTTGGCTGATTGTATGTTACAAGTATTTATCGTTTGAACCCCAGTAGCTGAATTTTGTGGCTCACATTCAAGTCTTGTCAAGGACTCTGCAATAGACCTTTGTTGCTCATCCGCGTAAAGCATAGTGCATGCTTATAGTTTAGAGCTAAATCCCATGGGCTGTGTATTCGAATGATTGTGCAAATGATGGTCATAAGCTGGAGAATTGCTTCCGTCTTGTGCCCTTAGTATTCAATCCCTGACATTCTTTGTTGCTCCGTTTTGGCAGGTATTGTTCGCATGTTGTGGCTGCGCTTCCGTTTGTCTCGGTTGATGAGCTGTTATACCTTGTCCATACTATAAATCAGACTGTCCAGTTGCGGGGCGGGACTCTCCAGTCTAGCATGAAGGCCATACTAACAGGCGAGGGTCCCCTAGCACGATTTGTTGACCAAACTCTGCGGCACAGCAAACGAAACAGAACAGAAGACGGGACCGATGCATGTCCTCCAGCAAACACTGGGGATGCGAAGAGGCAGTGTGATGTGCGGATTGACAACATTCCCGGCATTCACACAGATGTTGTGAAGCAGATAAAGGTGAGAAATCAATCCACAAAAGCAAGAAGGGAGTTGGAATGGATATTTCGGTACTATTTCCTTGTCTCCGGAGTAATATTCTTGTGGATATTTCTCCCCCCATCAACCCTGCCAGTGAGAGGAGGGGTGGGGGGTCAAGGGGCTGTGGGGGAATATTTGGTTTGATTTTTTGGATGCTCAGATAGAATAATGAAATAGAGAGAATATTCATATATAGACAATCTAATAAATAATAAACAATTGTAATATATAGAAATCAAAATATAGATATCAGATATATCTTTGCGTCAGGTAAAGACTTGCTCAGCTGTTCCAAAAAGGATAGCGGATTCTCTGGATTGCTGGATAAATTTGAATGCTCTTTCTTTGGGTGAGGTCATGACTTTATTCCATAGTTACAGCGCATCACGTGCGTGCAAGTTGCGCACATCCGCCGCACCACACATGATGCGGCGCATTTAGAAAATAATTAAAAAAAATAATTCAGAAAGGGTATGTCGTCATACCCATAAGTGTCCCTCCCTTTTAAAAAGGGTAAGTGCACAGAAAGAGAATATTTTGGGGCCTCGTCGTACTACTCATTGGTTATATTCTCCTTTCCAAAAAGTACCCTGCAAGTAATTAGCTGGGTTTCCATGACTTTGGAAGGATGTGCATTGGACTGCTGGAAGACCACGAGTAGGCCAGCAATATATCCCAGATTCGGATTCAGGTCTGTGTTCCAAGAGTTATGGGTTACGAACTTACCACAAACACTCCAGTAGTTGTCTTGTTTTTTGTTTTTTTTCCTTTTCTTACATGCAGTGGCCCTAAGGGCCTCGCTCCACTCATCAGCACTCGCAGAAAAGAAAAATGGATGGCTTGTATGGTTCCAGTTTCTAGGAGAAGATTCATTCTAGTCTTGCACATACAGTAGCTGTCTCGTTTTTTTGTTCTTCCTTTTCTTACTTGCGTGCAGTGGCCCTAAGGGCCTGGCTCCACTCATCAGCACTTGCAGAAAAGAAAAACGTATGGCCTGTATGGATCCAGTTTCTAGGAGAAGATTCATTCTAGTTTTGCACATTTGGTGAGTAGTGGAGTGAAGCCCTCAAAATCACATGCCGAGTTAGTAAGTCAGTAACCCGTAACTGCTGAAACACGGACCTGAAATCGAAGCTACACCATATGTAGCTGGCCTACTCCCTCCTTACTACAACTCCAGTGACGACCCTTTCAATGACACCCCGCTCCTGCCGACGGGACCTTGCCAATTTTTGGCAGGGACCTTTTGAAGTACAGGCAGGGGTTGTCTGAATAATGTGAAAGGGCTCTGTGCTCTCTCTCTCTCTCTCTCTCTCTATACACACGTCACGGTTGGATTTTTTTATTTTTTTTTGCACGCCAGCGCACCTGGGATTGGGGGGGTGGGGGTGGGGGGGTTGTTATAGGGGGGGTAATTGGGGGGTATTAGGGTGCTATAGGGGGTATTGGGGGGATATGAGGGTGTTGGGCGGTGGTTTGGGGGTGTGTGTGGGGTTGTTGGGGGCAGGTATGGGGGGGTTGGTGGGGTTATTGGCGGTCATGGATTCCCAGAAAGAAAAAGACAAAAGAAAAAATCGCGTCGACGACCCCCGACGGGTAGGTGCCGACCAGCGGACCGACCAGTCAGGACACCGACCGTCGGGGTATGCAACACTGGATTGCAGGATAAATATGAATGCTCTCTCTTCGGGTCAGGTCATGACTTCAAGTCTTCAAGATCTGACCCAAAAATTAAGAGTCAGGTGACACATTCAAGTGGCTCCAGCACATTAGCATGATGCCCACACATGCTGTTTAGGAAAAGGCGGCAAACACCCTTTGCTATCTTGAATGGCTTGAATGTTGGTCCGAATGCCACCTTTATGTGAATTCTACATTTCACCACGTCGTCTGTCAAGTCTGTGTCCATGCTGCAAGTGACCAACACATGTCTACGCAGAAGGGGAGATCTCTCAAGAGGGGCAAAGGTGCTATCATAGCATTCCAGGTTGTTCTTTTATTCTGCTAAATTCTTTGTTCTTGTTTGTATCCGGTGCGCAGGTGGATTGTCGTAACGCTGTTGCTGTATCACTTTTGCTCCTCCTGAAGTGCTACTTGAAGTCAGCATACAGCATCACAGATGCGAAGTGCCAGGTCTGTCCCTACTGTTCTCCACCTTTTGCAATTTAGAGATGAAGGATATCACGGGAGCAACTCTTATGCCAATCCCCAAAATCCATGGCTCCAAGAAGACACACAGCATTATTCAGCGTTTGAATGCCTAAGCAAATCAGTCAGGTCAATAACCGGAAATGGACGACATAGAAGCACAAAATTATGTGACCTGGCCTGTGGCTGAATGGAATACGCATGCAACTGTTGATAAGCAGGTCATGAGTTCAAACCCTGATTCATACAGTGATACCAGGGGCTAACTACCTTTAGAAAAAAAAACGAAGAAAGAGCCACGGACTAGTGGCAGGTAACAAAATCAGAATATCGGGTGAGACCATCAGTTTGTTCTGTTCATGCATACATCAGCTGCGGTGATAAACCAAAGACGCTCAACAGCTGGAAGCATCAAATCATCATGCCTCACAACGTTCCCCTCCAGTGCTCTCTACACATCACCAAACAGCCCCGCCGAGCTGCCTGGCAGAGAGAAGGAAACCGAAGGGTGAGAGACCATGGGACGTTGAAAATCCGCCAGTACATAAAATAGAAGGGGGGATTGGGAGGGTGAGTGAGTCAAACAGAGAACATGTGAGAAGTTAGGAGTGCAGATTGGAGTGCAAACATCCAGCCTGTGAGAAATCAAAAATTCTGACGGACACGATCTCATTGAACAGCATGCATGACTTGATTGAAACGGCAGAATTGACAAGGCCGAGATCACACCAATGCGAGAACACACTCAAAAGTGAAGTCTCTTGAATAACGAAGGCATTTTCTCGACACCCACTACAAACACACAACAGAGTAGTAGTCCTCAACTCAGGCATGCATGCTATACTACTTCCTTGTCTATCCCGTCATCTAACTGGGCGCTAAGCTCTGTCTTCCCCATGCTAATGATCAATGAAGAGTCTGAGCGTGCTGAAGCTCTCCCACTGGCCACCAAATAAGTATCCGCCAACCTTCACAGCCTTCCTGTCACAAGGATGGCCGCCCCTCTGCTTCACTACCCCTCTCTCGCACGTGCAACGCCGTCACAGCTATGGCTCCCAATATCTCTCCCATTACCTCCACGGTGCATGGCCTGGCGGTTGTGTGCATGTACAGTGTCAGTGCTTCAGCCAGCTGGCAACCTGCCCACCTCTTATAGTGTGCCCTGGCCTCCTCTTTTGTTTCTCAGGCCATGGTCTTCCTTTTCTGGTAGGGACTGCCTACCGGCCCAGTCCCTACCAGACCAGACAGTTGGGCGGATAGAACCCCCGGCCTGGGGCCTACTGGCCTAGGCTATCTGGGTGTTCGACCTGGGGCCTCACGGGAGGGTGGTTGCTTGTCATAAACACAGGCAGAAAGCTGGTTTTCCTTGTAAAAAGTTTCTGGTGCATGGAGCTTGGTGTGCTGTATTCTTTCTTCTCATGTTTGTGTATGATGATGCGAAGCACCGGTTGGAAACATTTCTTGCTCAAGGATTTTGGAGACTCTGTTGTTGTATTTCTTGTGGTTCCTTGCAATATGTCCATTGTGAGTTGCCATACATGGACCATTGCACTTCATGTTCCATCCCAGTTGTTGGGTGGGATTTCTGCAACCTCAAGAATAATAAATGAGACATCCCCCCGGGCCTGTGATACGACCTAAAATGAGTTCCTGTGGCCAGTACTAATACTATGATGATGCGAAGCACCAGTCGGAAACATTTCTTGCTCAAGGACTTTGGAGACTCAGTTGCTGTATTTCTTGTGGTTCCTTGCAATATGTCCATTGTGAGTTGCCATGCATGGACCATGGCACTTCATGTTCCATCCCAGTTGTTGGCTGGGATTTCTGCAACCTCAAGAATAATAAATGAGACATTCCCCGTGGCCCGTGGTACGACCTAAAACTAGTTCCTGTGGCCAACTGTAATACCGTACGAATACTAGAATAGACTATTAGTAGTGTGATAATACCGTTTATTGAAGCCATAAATTCTACTGCAAATGGCTGCAATCGCATTCAGCAATCTTCCACTTCCTTCCTTTTCTTTAGTGGGTATACCACATGCCAAATTTGCATGGGTGAACTCAGATATTCAAAAGATCTTTTTTTTTCGGGTTCATGAGGTCCCTCCCACTCTTCCTCAGCATTCTCCACAGCGCACTCCCACTACCCTGGTCTTAACGAACACTAATGAATTCCTCCGACATTCCAAGGGATCTACTAACAGCTGGCTACCGGACGGGAGTTGCGAGCACGAGTGCTGGGCAGGACAACCCATCCAGGCTGATGGAAGCTCATGCAAGACAAGGCACATCATATGGGTAGTTCGGACGCCATGCATGGTCACTCTCTTATACCAACCCCATGAGCAAACCCATGATGCCCCCCAGGATATTTTTGTACCAAAAGTACCATTTATCGAGCTACCACAGGCAGTGTCTAATTGTCCACCTACCGAGCCAAGTATAACCTATGACAGCCTAGGGCCCACCCTTAGTACCACCACCGCAGCTGAGCTGTTGTATATTTGTATAGGTTTTTGATACACTAGTTATCGATTATTCGCATACATCTCATGTGTTTACTCACTCCCGTGTTTACAGTCTACACGCTAGGGAAGCTAGCAGTTCATGTGATGTACAGTCACGTATCAGCGTATGATGTGCTCAACTGATAATATCAAACAATCGACTAATGCAAGGAACATGAGCAATAGCGAGATGTCAGAATCCAGATTGCACAATCACATTGAATGCCAAAAGTTCCAGAGTCTCCAGAAAGTAGCATTGCACCAATAATACATCGTAACACTGAAACCGAATGTCAATGAGAGCTTACTCTCGTCTTCACCAACATAAGAGTCCAGGCTCTTTCCCAAACTTGGCGCTCAGCACCCAGACTACTCCCGCACAGCTACTGTCTGCCTAAGAATTGACAATGCAACTGTTGGCGTCAGCAGCCACTGAAGTGCATGAAGATGTCACCCAATGCAGACCATCGCCAATACCAGGTATGGTCCCTCACGTCATCATCCTCATCTCTATCACTCTCTCTCTCCCTCGTCTGTCTCCCTTGTCTTCCCTCTGTACACCCGAAGACCACCACTGCGCCTTGCTGTTTAACCAAGCCCAGCCAGCTATGGAAGCTGGGCTATGG